AACTTGCTGTTGGTGACAGTGCTTGCATGTTTTTTTCCCCACAAGAATACCAACATGTTAACCTTTGGTTTAAGGAGCGGTCTTTTACTTTACTTTAGCATGAAAACCATCCATGGTTTCCACAATATTCGTGTCATTTTTGCTGTGCGCACCTTCGTGTAAACCAGGCTCTACACTCGAAGCGCTGCGCAGTTCAAACGAGTCGCACGGTTTCGTTATGCTTTCAGTTTCACTTGCCATTGGACGTTGCTCACATGCAACAGAAATGGCAGCGCTTATGAGTTGAACAACGCGGTGGTCGCGCCAGTGCGACCGCACACAAAATTTAGTCGCACAGGTAGAAAAAATGGTCGCAGTCTGGAGCCCTGAGTACGGTACGATTCGGGGCTGTACACCCTGATCCAACTTGCGTTTCCACCACCAACAGTAGAAGAAAGCATGACATTGTCTGTGTATATGTGTGAAAATATAAAATTATAAAATACAGTTATATTTTTTGTGTTTGTGCACTCTGATGTAAACAAGCCCAACATGCATAAGCAGCATAGCAGAACGAGTGAAGGAGAAGCTTTATTCCCCTTGTGTTGTCATTCCCCTTGCAGCATGAGCAAGTGACGATTCTCTGTCAACCAATCAGTATTCTGCAGTGAGTCTAGCTCCACCCTTTAGGTACCGGACTACTGTGCTAGATACCCCAACGGAAGGGTCCTAGCTTCACTGCATCTCCACTTTCAGTCAAAGATTTCCATAAATGTCAGTATTATAGTATCTGCCATCCCCAAAACCATATTCCTTTTCCATCCTTTTGCACTATGTGGTTACTATAATGAACTAAATCTAAACTTCATGTTTATCCAAATTTCATGTTTATGATTGTCTGTACATGTCTCAGACATCTAAGCTCTGTTCCAAAACCTAGTGAGATGCCTTGCTGCCTACTCTGTAGAGTTCTAAGCAGGGGCGGCATTTCCATATGGCAGAGTATGGCAGTCGCCATACCCTAGCCTCCCCCGCCATGCCCCAGTTGTCCGTTGCCATACCCTAGGCGATCATCCCACAGAACGCGATTTTTAACCGAGTGACCTCCCCCCAGAGCCTCAGGGGCGGTGCAACTGGTGTGGTGCAATCACAAATGGACAACGCCACAAGTTGTGACTCTGTGTTAGCAGTAACTTCTAACACAAATCTCCTCAAAAGAGACTTTTGATATTAGCATGTTGCATTAAATAACATAGAGCACAACTTCTGGGTATTGAATGAAATAAGCTTATAATATTTCTCTTTTTCAGCGTTTTGGAATAATTTTTTGTCATAATCCATTTTGGGATTGCCTTCTCTGAAAAGGCCAAAATGGTCTTTGGGGTCAGCATAATTAAATAACCTACCTTTTGAAACAACTTTCACATCTGACGTGTGGTTTAAAATTCTGCCTTTGTAAGAAGCTCATTGGGTTTTGGAATATAGAGTTTTTGTGACTGCAGTACAAACCAAGCAGTTGTCAAAGGGAAACAAAGACCTAGTCGCACAGGTAGAAAAAATGGTCGCAGTCTGGAGCCCTGAGTACGGTACGATTTGGGGCTGTACACCCTGATCCAACTTGCGTTTCCACCACCAACAGTAGAAGAAAGCATGACATTGTCTGTGTATATGTGTGAAAATATAAAATTATAAAATACAGTTATATTTTTTGTGTTTGTGCACTCTGATGTAAACAAGCCCAACACGCATAAGCAGCATAGCAGAACGAGTGAAGGAGAAGCTTTATTCCCCTTGTGTTGTCATTCCCCTTGCAGCATGAGCAAGTGACGATTCTCTGTCAACCAATCAGTATTCTGCAGTGAGTCTAGCTCCACCCTTTAGGTACCGGACTACTGTGCTAGATACCCCAACGGAAGGGTCCTAGCTTCACTGCATCTCCACTTTCAGTCAAAGATTTCCATAAATGTCAGTATTATAGTATCTGCCATCCCCAAAACCATATTCCTTTTCCATCCTTTTGCACTATGTGGTTACTATAATGAACTAAATCTAAACTTCATGTTTATCCAAATTTCATGTTTATGATTGTCTGTACATGTCTCAGACATCTAAGCTCTGTTCCAAAACCTAGTGAGATGCCTTGCTGCCTACTCTGTAGAGTTCTAAGCAGGGGCGGCATTTCCATATGGCAGAGTATGGCAGTCGCCATACCCTAGCCTCCCCCGCCATGCCCCAGTTGTCCGTTGCCATACCCTAGGCGATCATCCCACAGAACGCGATTTTTAACCGAGTGACCTCCCCCCAGAGCCTCAGGGGCGGTGCAACTGGTGTGGTGCAATCACAAATGGACAACGCCACAAGTTCTGACTCTGTGTTAGCAGTAACTTCTAACACAAATCTCCTCAAAAGAGACTTTTGATATTAGCATGTTGCATTAAATAACATAGAGCACAACTTCTGGGTATTGAATGAAATAAGCTTATAATATTTCTCTTTTTCAGCGTTTTGGAATAATTTTTTGTCATAATCCATTTTGGGATTGCCTTCTCTGAAAAGGCCAAAATGGTCTTTGGGGTCAGCATAATTAAATAACCTACCTTTTGAAACAACTTTCACATCTGACGTGTGGTTTAAAATTCTGCCTTTGTAAGAAGCTCATTGGGTTTTGGAATATAGAGTTTTTGTGACTGCAGTACAAACCAAGCAGTTGTCAAAGGGAAACAAAGACCTCAAAAGGTCTCAAATCTCCTTATGACATGGTATTCATCTCATTTTATCTGACTGGTCTCTGTTGTTCTCTGCAGAAGTACAGACACCATGATGAAAACACAGGATCTCCACTGGAGCAAAGCTCACCACAGTTCACTGATGAGGCTCCTGGGCCAGAGCTGGTCCAAGTGGCTGAGAAGAACCTCTCCCAGATTGAGAACATCCACGGCTATGTGGCACATGCACATATCTCCCCAATGAAGGTAGGTAGTGGTCTTGGAATCCAGACCTCCTGATCAGATCACCTATTTTATAATTTGCTGTGTTGTCGATCACCTTGTTGTCCAAATTCTACCATGCAGTTTTTTATAACTGTGTGTGTGCCTCACTCTTTACATACACAACACACAAACATACCCTTTAGGTTTTAGAATGGTTTCCCCTCCTTGGATTATTTAAAAAAACAGCCGGACAGCCATAAGAATTGCTTTTGTATGGTCAACTTGTTTGTTATTTTTCTTTACCACAAGCGATCAAAATTAATAATTTTGTCTAAAGCATACTATTAGGTTAGGATGAAAAATGCTGTGCCAATAGATTGAAAGGCTCTTTATGTACTTGGTTCAGTGGAAATCTCATTATTAGTGTGCAGGGTGCTTTATAGCGCAGAGGGGTTTGCAGGGCCCACAGGCTGATTTATAATCTGTTGTATTGCTGAACGGACAGCGATAAATATGAAAGACTGGCATAGTTGATACAAAGACATGTATTGCCCCCCTCACTTCTTTCAAAGACTTAACATTTATTAGAGTTTATACATAAAACACGGGACATGTATTTAATGCTTTTAGATGAGCAGCTTTGAAATGTATACTGTAAGAAACATGCAACACCTCCAAGTGGAAGACAGCAGGGTGACCAGAGAAGGTGAATATGCTGTAAGGTGGAAAGTAGTATGTACAGTGGGTACGGAAAGTATTCAGACCCCCTTAAATTTTTCACTCTTTGTTATATTGCAGCCATTTGCTAAAATCATTTAAGTTAATTTTTTTCCTCATTAATGTACACACAGCACCCCATATTGACAGAAAAACAGTGAAAAATTTAAGAGGGTCTGAATACTTTCCGTACCCACTGTATGTGTGAACATTTACAAGCTTTCGTCCTGCTCCTGTTGTGCTCCAGTGCTCTCTTCTGCCTTTAGATTTATGACCCCACAGCTCCCCCTCAGTCCCTATCAGAGCCTAAGCCAGAAGCATGCACACAACAAACCACAGATGAGAAATAACACCTGCCATTTTTCATAACCTTCACTGCTCACGCTTAAACCGGCAACTTTTCATTCCCTCAGCCCGCTTCACAACCTGCCATCCATCTCAGACACACCCTTACAATACAGTTAAGGCCCAGGCTTATCTGGAAGTCACCTCTTCAGAGAACCTCTAAACAGCACCCCACCCATCCC